ACAAGCACCAGGGAAACCTGGTGGGCCCGTGCGAGGTCAGAGTTTTGGCCAACAGGTCAGGACATCACCAATCGGGGGTTACGCAGCACCACGGCCCCACGCCGGGAGCAAAATCCCATCCAGAGCCCCGCTCTCGTCACTGCATCCCACAAGGAAGGGGTGTGGGGGTGTACCACCTTTTCTCTTGATTATTTCAAAGACATTGGAAACAAAGTAGAAATAAGCACCAACCTGCAAAAGTACAGTCTACCTTTCTCCTGATTTCCCCCCAGTCTGGTTAATTGGAGCATCTTTCCCTCTCTCATGCCCTCCCCTACTGAGCGGTTTCCACCCAGCGTGCCGGAGCACAGGCTGCCCTTACGGCAGTACCCTGCAGTGCAGCAAGTCTAGCAAGGAAGGGAAAAAAGTGAAGATATCTTTAAATATAACAACACATATGCAAGCTGTCACAGCACATCACGCACACTTCTGCACGGCTCAGGCTGGAAAATTAGGTCACATATGGACGTGTAACACGGGGTGAAAAAGGAGCAAAAGCTTTGCCTGTGAAGTTCAAGGTGTTTCCTGGTGTCCCTGCCCTGAGCCCTCCTGCCCTTCTCTCCCCACCCCACAGGGCCGGCAGCAGCCCTGCGGCTCTCGTGTTTGCCCCGCCATGCCTTGGCGTGTGCAGTGCCGTGCTACCTTCTTTGTTGTAAAAACCAGATGACTATTAGCTAAGCAAAAAAATACACATTTTTAACAATTAAGTCAACTCACTCCCCAGTAATTAGGCTGCAGAGCTGCCTGAACTTCAGCTCAGCCCTGGTGCCTTCATCCTTCAGCTCATGACCTATGACTGTGGCATTATCTCAAACCTAAACTGGACTAAATGAGTCCTGGAGCCTCAGCATGTCCCTTGCCTCCTGCAGACCTCCCTCTGCTTTTCAGTAGCTGGTAAAGCTCTTGGTTCTCCCAAGCCTTTGCACTGTTTTACATGACCGTGTTTAAAGAAAACAGAAGATGTGTAAAAGTCTCATAATATAGTCCTAAACACACTTATTTAACCACTTTTGGTCTTTCTTTGGCTTATGTAGGGTATCTGGCTATTCCTATAGCATCCTCAGGTGCCAAGGCAAGCATCCTAGCAGCAAGGGGACAGTGCAAACAGATACCAACACATGAGTTCAGTGGAGGGAGTAATCGTGAGTGTCGTTAAGTAAATTTTAACATGCTTCAAATTTAATACTTAATGTTAGTATTATAGGTAAAAAGCACACTTACAGTCTGGTTTTTTTACTGGCAATTATCCTCTAAGAACACAAGCAAACCTTGATTTTACAAATGTCTTATGGGAACATGCAAAACTTTCATAGAACAGGAGATTTGGGGTGGGGAAAGAGAAGGTGGACTACTAGGGTTTAAATAGTTTAGGGAAACACTTGGAGATAAAAGCTTTTTTTAGATGTAGAAGTCATAAAATTAATGTTTTCTGTTAAAAAGCACTTTTTTTTAACCTTAAAAATTATTTTCCAAGTTACTGGCACTTACAGTTCTTGGTAGATTGCAGTATATTTTACTTCTATGAAATGACTCAACCATACGCAGCACCACTGCAGCAGAACAAGAACAACGATGCTTATCAAGCTTTTTTATATACTGATTAACATTAAAAGGAAAACCTCAAACTTACCAGCACAGCCCATAAAAATCACCCATGTTGCTGTGCTGCCTCCTCCCCATCCTAAATATGACTAAGTAGAAGAACGCCTGCTACGGCACGTCCCAGCACGCAAGTAAGGATCAATTGTTTGAACTAGCTCTTAATTTTTCCAGCGTTGCAAGATTTTCCAAATCCAGGACATCAATTATAATTGTCAGCTCCCTTATCCAAGATGCTACAGCATTAATCCATTTTTATATCACTATGTCAGACCCTGATCTCCACAATCAGAGGCAAACCTTCCCTCCCCGCCATTGAAACAAAGATGTTAGGTTAGAAATAAGGAGATTTAACAAAATATAAGTGACATTATTTATTATTTTGTCTTTGGGGACTTTGTACTTTCTAATGTTTCTTTTAATTTCCATTCATTTCTGAGCTTTTCTGTATACTCTGGTACACAGCTGGTGCAAACAGTCTCAGCTGGAGCTGAGAAACTGTCAGTTTTGTTTTCGTGCCGAAACCGTGCCCCGGTGACGTTCCCAGTGGCCTTGGGGCAAATCCCTGCGTCGGGCTGAGGCAGCCCCTACAAGAAGGATTTGCCCGGAGCATCCGCGCCCCACACAGTGCTACAACGGGCTCTCCTACCCAAAACCGCGCTGGCAGGGCTCTGCACCGAGCTCGCGCTTTCGCTGTGGTGCCGGTGGCTGGGGCTTGCAGCACAGGGTAGGCTGTCGCGTGCTTGTTGGAAACACCCAGGCGCTTTTGTATTTAACCACGAACACCCAGGTGTTTGTCGGTTTATTGTAACCTGACTGCCCGCCACAGATAAAAACAAGCCCTGTAACATCCTTCAGAGATGGTGACTGTTCTCTCAGGCGTTTGCTTTCGGAAGTTTCCCGCTCTCACATGTCTGCCTGCTGTGATCTCGCAGATGTAATTGCGAAAACAGGGGTTGCTCAATCAGCCCTTCTGCCACCCCCGAGCCCTGTACAGGCCTGAGCGCAGCTCAGCCAGGCTGGCTTTGGGAGCTCTGCCCGGGCTCGCCGGTGCTGTTGGGAGCTGACCCCCTTTGCACATCCGCAAGGAGAGGAAGGATGCTGACCACGACCCGCTCAAGCCACCGGCTAGCATTTTCTGCGACCTTCGCTTCCGCTTTGTGTTAAAGCGGGTGTTAAAATTGTGCTCAGAAGTCCGGGGTTTAAGTGTATTTCTAGAGTAAGCTGAATGACAATAGAAGTGCATTTGGTAAATATAAATGTGGGTATTATGAGAAAAACCTCCTTACACTTCACACCACCCACTCTTGAATTATCAGATTAAATAAAGCTGACACACAGCAACAAAAGTCAAAGCACGCTCAGCAAAGAGGATCATTTCCTCATTTTACAGAGCTGTGTTTTTCTCTTAAACATCCGTGTTAAAGACACAGCTGAAGCACAGTTCAGGTAAGGATATATGTCAAGCAGACTGCTGTACAATTAAAAAACAGAATAGAGGGGAAGTTCCCCTGCTTGTGGCAAAAGCGGATGAAATGAAAGCGTGGCAGGGTATGTCTTACCTTTCTTTTTGGCTTAACTGATTTCTCAAGATTCCTATACAGATGGTGAAGCTTTGTTTCACATTACAAGGACACAAATGCATTTCTACACCTACAGTAACTTAAGACTGCAATGGAGAAAAATCCGAACATTCATTAAACAGCTATGCATTGTCCGTTAGGAAAAGGTGGAGCAGAAGCACTCGCTCCTCCACGTCTGCTCATTTGATGAACGCTGCGGACGACTTAACTCCAGAGGTTCCTCTCTTGCTCTCCATTTCTACATTACTCTTTCAGAAGCTTGCAAACAATTTTCATTTCCCCACCGCTTTTGTCACACGCCAGTAAAAATTGATTTTTCCTGCAGAGTGTCAAAGCGGTTGCTGCTTTCCTTTCTTCTTCTGCTTTCTGCATTCCCATTATTGATGTCAGTGGGAAAGGGCACGGCTTAGAGAATGTGTTTGTTATTTAACTGTTGCAGATCTCAACGGGAGAACGGGATAAGAAGCTTACCTCTTTTCTTCTCTGTGTAATGCCAACATGCTGGCTTTTAAAAAACCTCAGTGAAAAATTCGGTGGATTTTTTAACACCACCCCCCCCCCAAAAAAAAAAAAAGTTAAGTGAGAAAGAAAGCTAATTAGATTCCTGCATATTTCAAAAAGTCTAATGGTTTTCAGGTAGATCAAGTGCTGGTTCTGTGAATGTCCTCTCTATAGAAAGAGACTCACTTGACTGGAGCACACGGAAGGACCAAAAGTATATTCTGTGTAGGCCGTTTTTCTCCTGCTTCAATTGAATTGGAGAAAAAACCAAGCATCAAGTTCCTTGAAATCTTTCTGCAAATGCAGGCCCTCTCTGCAGCTTCAACGTCAGACTGGCTTGCTATTGTCCGGGGTTACTTGGGTTGTAGGAAACTCAATGCACTTATAAAGGTCCCTTTCAGAAGTAAGGTTATGGATTGACCAAGATATACGAGTGCTTTTACCAGTCACTGGCCATCTCCTCTGCAACCAGTTCCCTTTCTGACATTGCCCAACCGTCTGGACAATTAAAAAAATGGAAACAGCAGATGCCTGTGTAAGAGACGCATTTGCAGTACAACACAAACTCTTAGGACCACCGTAAAACCTCTTCTGCATCGCCGCGGCTGGACCGACACAGCTCCCCATGCTGTTACTCAGCAATTTCCATCAGACAATCTTGCTTGCGCGCAACTCTTTGTCAGCTCAAAGATGCCACCCTCAGAAACCACCACAGCTGGTCTTCATCTTTGCAATTGAGAAGGCGGGTTCATGTTCTGGAAAAAGCAGCTCTTCTTCAGACAAAGGAGATCCATGGAAAGAGTACACAACAATAGGAATGAGAAATGAAAAAAACGGAAAAAGGGCCAGGAAGGAGCATGGATTCCTTTCAGGTTTTGTTCTCATCATACATGTCCAAGGCAGGCTCGATGGTTGAGAACTCGCTCTCGTAGACCAGGCTTCGAGGGGACAGAGAGTTACGATGAAAGAAGTGACTGCCTACAAGAGGTAGAACAAAACCTCATTAGAAACACACATGAACAACATAAGAACTGAGTAAAGCATCCTCATACACAGCTGCCGACCACAAACACAGTATGCATGGAAAAAATAGCCACCCTTTAACACAAACCAGTAATAGCCATATGAAATAGTTCACCTCTGTTCGTGTGCTCCCCTGCCAGTTCATAGCAACTGCTTTCCATATGCATGAACAATCCCACCTCAAATGGTTCTTTCACAACAGGTCAAGTCTGAGCAAGGCTGGGGCAGGCCGGAGTTTCGTACTCGGTGCTTGCTGTTCATTTACAGCCTTGCAAATCAGGCACGTGCTTCCTTGAGAAACCCAGAAACCTTTGGTAGGCGCCCACTTCCCTATGCCGTGCACCAGCACAAAGTGCTCCGGCACGGGGTCGAAAGGAACGAGCAGGCTGAGCAAGGAGGTCACCAAGGATCGTCCAACCGATGCCGCTGAAAGCCTGACCTCCTCCAGAGCTCAGCAACTTCCATCCACCCGGAGTCACCTTCTAGAAATAGGCACCTACGTATTTCCTTACACAGAACCAAAGGAGACCCAACCCTCTTCTCCAACACTGGTGATACCCAAAACAAGCACCAAGTGGCTGTTGATAGAGTAGGGAATGGAAGTTCATTTTTTTTTCCTCGGCGGCCTGCTGTTCCCGTGGCTCTCCAAACCCACAGATGTGTTTTGCAAGGAGCCCAGCCCTACTGCTGTATAAACGGTTCTCTCTGAAAGCATCTATCAGATCAGGCCCTTGGCCAAAACATTTCATTACTCGGTTTCTCGATCCCAGGGGGGGATTAGCTGGGAGCAAGGCTGCTTAGATTACAATACACCAGGCAGCCTCACGAGCCAAATTGGAGGCAACTGAAAAGCTTCCAAGTTCATCAGGAAGGCACTCAGCAAACCAAGGTGCCTCCAGTTTCAGGCATCAGTGGAGCAAGGCACTTGGGGGATTGCAGTTTTAGCCCTGGCAGAATTTAGGTGCTTAAATCCTCCTTTCTTTGCCAAATTTTGAGTCCAGCCTATGACCTTCTGAAATAGAGCTTACAAAAGATATGAAGGAAGAAGAATTCAGCTGCTACTGTCCAAAACACCTTTTCTCCTTCCCCACTCACCCAAAAGACAGACTCGGAAAAGAAAAAAAAGAAGTCCTTGTTAGGATTAAAAAGAAAAAGCTAGAGTTACAATCAAATGCGTAGAATTGTTGAAAGAGCAGAAACAAAAATGAATTTTGCACTTATCAAAGCAGAGGCCTCATAACAGCACTGGATGGAAGAGTCAGGGACACTGTAGACGGGCTCCATGCAAACTCATTTTGCAAGCAAGCTGCCATCCTGATTTGCAGCAAACTCTGGCCGGGGCTGCACAGCAATTATGTGCCCAGGTCAAATCCTTGTTAAGAACAGCAGCAAACTGCAGCTGGCCAACCTATCTGCTGCCGGTTTCCTAAACCTCCTCTAAACCTCCCTTTTATCACCAAAAGCCAGTACACACGCTCACTCCACCATTTGCACTGAGAAGGGGAAGTTCTCATAAGCAAATTAATTTATTTTTGATTGTGTAGTTAACTGAAACAAGTGAAATTAGTAGTTACATTGCATAGGGGTGAATTGCTCATTCTGCCAGGAGCATATATCCAGGTATTTGGAAGAAGTGTACTGTATTGGAATACACTTTGCAGAAGCAGGTCAGTAGGGGATGATGAACACCCACTTTCTAGATCTGAAAGCTCTCCCAAATTTACAGGTTTCTAAAACTGGGCAATGCTTAAAAAAAAAAAAAAGTTGAGTTTTTAGGGAACATAAGCTTGGAACTATGACTTCCAGCTGATCAGTCTGTCTTTAAACAAAAAAACCTGAACCTACTTTGAAATTATACCAGATAAAACTGATTTCAAGGTTCTTCTTGAAATGTGTTATGGGTCAGGATCATTTAATTTTTGATGACTGAGTCTCAGCTTGCAGTTGAAATAAGCCATGGATATTGGATGTTTCATCTCCCTTTCCTCCACCTGCTGAAATGTTACATACTGAACAGCCAATGCTGAAACGAAACAAAGGGGATTCTAAAAGCTCGGTGTTGCTTTTATTTTTATTACACAAAAATCAAACAAGGGATTAGGAAGCAGACAGCCCCGGCTGTCATTTCCTCTGTGTGCGCCCACACTTCCACTCTAGTAGATTCAAGGGAGAGATTTAATCAACAGGCAGACAGGTCATCCGACAACAAATATTTTCAATTAATCCGGAAAAAGGCACTGTATATCCAACACCTCTAAAATTCTTTACTGTGATGTTTTCTCGCTTCTTGGCCAAAGAAATTTAAGCCACCCACTTCCAGGGAGGCTGCATGTTTCCATACAGATACAAATCTCTTGACTTTCATATCACTTTTGGGACACATCACCCATTCTTTTCCTAAATGTCTCTCTCCTCTACCATTCAGCGCAGTCTGCCCAGTGCTGAAAATCCAGCTGCTGCTCAGTGCTTTTCAACGCTCGATCCTCACATGCTCTAATAACCAGGTCAGTATCATTGCCCACAACTTACGGCTAGAGGAACAGTCAGCAGGGCACAGTGACCCAGCTACGCTCATCTTTAGCGGTTTTCTGCATTATGTTTGTTTAAAAACGTTGCATCAGTCCAGTTGATAAATTTATTGAATAAATGTAGTTTAAGGACAAGTAGAAACATCCACAGTTCCAAGTTCAGCTTATGAATCTGTTCTTCCTATTTTGCACTTACCAAGAAAGATCCAGATTTATCCCTTAGGTATGGAAAACAAATGGGAAGTCTGCATTCAGTTTTAATATATGAAAATGAATTCTTCAGTGCTCTCTGCCACTATTCATTATATACTTCCAAAAAGCTTTTCAGATAACTTGTATTGTGTCTGAAAATAAACATACTACCCTGGAATTGATCTTTATAGCTACATAGGATGCTGCAGAAGTGAGCACACCACCAAGGCCAAAAATATAAGAGACATGGCATTGCTGTAGCATTGCAGATTCATCAGGAGTATCACCTTGTGTTCCCTTTCCATCTCAAAGTATTTTACTGCCCTCAGTCATTAATCATGGCCATCTTCTGCCACAAGCTACAATCCCTCCGCAGCTCCTCTGGCACAATGACTACTTAATGTGGAAACCTGATCCGAGCACTCCCTCTCTCAGACAATGTTTTAGACACCCTCTTGGTTAAGAAACAACAGAGCAGGATTATTTCATAAAGCATCCTTTCCTCGAAGCCAGCTGTTTAGCAAGGCACTGCTACTCCCTCTTGAACTATACCCTATTATACCCTTCTGTCAGCCTAGTCCTGCCATCTTTGCAACATCTGGAAAGAGGGACCAGCTCTTCTTTCCTCTCACTGTTATGATTATGCATATGCGAGTAACATTACTCATCTTTTATGTGTGGATATCTAAAGCATGGTAGGCAACAGAAACTTTGGGAATTTCCTTCTTGTGCCTATCCAGAGTCAAAAAATTGAGTTTCTGGGATGGTGCGGAGTCCATCTTTCAATATATATATTTCATTAACAGGATAAACTTACATTGCTAGCCTGACCTGTAATTAACCTAGCAGATACTGTCTGTACTTTTATTAACACTTTATTGAGACAATTGTTAGAGGCTCAAATGAAAGATTAAAAAAGATGGCCCTGGATTATTTAAATCCTCTGTGGAGGGAAACGCACTAGAAGCCCCGTCAACCATTTTGTTTCCAATATCCTCTCAACTTCTCCTTCTGCTGCTGTTCTGTAGAAGAAACACGAACTGGAACTGTTTGTGGTGCCTTCTACATCTGGGTCACCACGTTGTTCGGGCTGTCCCTCTACATCCCTCCTGATAGCGTTAAAAAGCACTTAAGCATTTTTGTTTCAGGAGACAAGCACAAACTTACCAATTTTACTACTGCTGTTGAGAGATGGGTGAAAAAAAAAAGTGTCACCCTTTTGTTTCATAGCCTGTACCCTAAATCACGCTTTAACCACATTCCTCCATTTTTGGCAACAATGCTCAGTTGACACACAGTGTATTTTACAAGGAGATAGTCCTCAGACACAGTATGTTTGAGGTTTTTTTCCCCTTCATGAGTAAGTCCAATGGGGTTTTCCAGTCCTTCAAAATGCACTTACTGCTCTATTGATTGTCTTCATGTTTCTTTCAAAATTTCACAAGGACACACTGAAAAATAATTCTATTAAATGAACTGAAGCTATCACATACTTCATTTCTTATTATAAAAGCTGCCTTCTCAGCTGAAGCCTGCTGGACAGATAAGAACTAAGAAACTATTTTAATGTAAACTCTGGCGGTGTTCCTGAACTCTGAAAGTGCCTATACATAAAAATAAAATTAAATTAAATCCTCTATTACCCAGTACATAAAAAAATTAAATCTTACGTAAAATTGGTTCTCTCTGTTCATTTAATTAAATTAGAAAGCATTAAGTTTCAAATGTCTACATCTTGATACGAGAACAACAAAAACAAACGCAGAATAGGTTTTAACTTCTATCAATTATATTTTCCTTACCAATTTGTTACCTTCATCTACCCATCTCATTAACTCAAGCATTAGCATTTGGCTGCAAATCAGATCCGCATGTTTTAACTGACTGTTGTGAAACTACTCATACACCACTTGCATAAGTAAACTTGCGTGAAACAGCCTGAGTGAGGACAGTGATGGGAGATGTTTTCCCTCTGCCTCCTCACCAGTAAAAAAGCCATGGCAAGAAGGGACATGTTTGCATAGAGTTTCTACATTACAGTAAAGACCATTATCAATCTTTCATGATCAGAATTTGAACAAAAACTAACTCCTGTCACTAACATGAAAGGAGGCTTCACAGATGACAGTGGGGGAAAACGCTACCTTTTCACTTCGTATTAGGAAGAAGTGGTTTAGAGAAGCTTCACTTTCATCAGAAAGAAGGGTGGGGTGACAGCAAAAGACAGAAAAGGTTTATGATTTGTATGTCGAGAAAACAGTGTTGCAAACCTTCAGCAATGCCTGACCTGAAGACAAAAATCATACTGCAATCCTCCCAGTGTGACACAGGAGTGTTACAGGAGAACTGGAGAAAATGTTCTTATTTCAAATTAATTCTCAGCTGGAGCCAAGGTAAGCCCATTACACACTAGAATGCTTGGCCCAGCTTTTTTCCTTAATGAGTTGGTATGGAGCGATTGCTAATAATACTCTTGTTAGTCATTCCAGTGCTGGGTGGCATCATAAGAATGGCACTGCGTGAGATTTCCACTTGTTAGCTTATGTGTCCCAAAATGAAAGGAGAAGAGTACAGATCTGCAAAGATGAAATCGTTCAAAGGAAATAAAGCACCTTATAAAATATACAAAAGGCTGTCCGACTTAAGTACTAACACAGAAAGTCCAAGAAAAATAAAATTCTCACAGAGTAAGATTTCATAATTAAAGTATTTTTTATTTCTTCACGTTTTGCTTAATACAAAGCTTTGGCATCAGCAAATTTTATGAAAAAATAGAATGTACTAAATAATTGCTTGTGCTGCATGATCGATAAATGATGCATAAAAATAGGTGTCTCTCTCCAAGGCAATTGGCCGGAAAGCGTTTCTTCAATACCATTCTGCTCTGTGGGGCAGGAAAAAAAAGGAACAAAATATTTATATTAAAGTTAATACTGCCAATACTAAAAAAACCAAAAATCCTGTAAAAGTAAGTTAGTGAGAAATGACTAATTATACAAGGCCAGAGCATTAGAAGAGGTCTGTACTCCTTACATCACTCTTACAGGACCAATAAAACAGACAGGACAGCCAGAGGTTTGAGCACTTCTAAACTTTTGAGGAAACTCCATCTGCTACTGAAAACTTTCTCTAAGTGGTGCTATCCAACATCTGGGCTTTTTGGACTTTAAAACACAGTTATACAGTAATTTCTGACCCTTCCCTAAGAAGCAAGGCAAAATGTGCTGCTTCTGTTCCTTTAAATCACTACCTAAATAATTTAATAGTAACGGTGCATGAATATTATGAGACCAAGAGAAAGCAGCTGGTTCCTTACTTTCTTATCACTTAGACAATGTTTACTCTTATCAGGAACGATTTAAAAGTGCATATGTGTGTATATATACATACGCACAAACATATATATACACACAACTGGAACTATTGCTCTAAGTAAGTATGTTTAAGATGAACACAGAACAAAAAGGATCAGGACATGTTTTTTGGCAAGTTTTAATGCAGAATATTTGGCACGTTTTACTTGCATCAGCATATTACGTGGCCTCATTCTTGCTACTGTTGTTTTCTGATAAGCTTCCTCTTGAAACGCTACCATAGCAAATGTAGGGTATGCCAGCACTGCTTTTTATATGGAGAACAGCACAAAAAGCAGATATGCTGTTATGACATTTAATGGAAATTGCAGTGAGAGGGAGCTGCCATATATTTGGCATGATACTCAGCACAGGAAATGCTTTGTCTGGCACTGGGGAACATAAGGTGTCAATGAAACAATAAATCTAAGAATTAGTGTCATACATACACATTTTAAACTGTCTAAAATGAGTAGTTGAACCTAGCAGCACTTGTGGAGGCTGCTTAGATCCCAAAGGATTCGGTTGAAAAGCTGTTGAGGTTCAAGGCTACAGCTAGGTACCTCAGTTACCTAATAAGTGATTTTTGACAGCTCTGGTTTCTGCGGTTGCTAGTTTTCTTAAGTCTGCCTCAAAGCGTACGCTCGTATATGCCTGCATTTTCATTCCTATCACTGGGGAAAGGAGCTCTCCTTACATCAGCACGCCCTTTGTTTGTACTAAGGGAACATCACTGTGAAAACACTTTGCTGGAGGCCCTAACTCTGCCAATGTGAAGAAGCTTCCCCTTTCAGTAAAAATAGACCCAGATCCGACTGAGCAAAAGACAACAAAAAGAAGAGTTGCAAGGCAAGGCAGAAATGCAACTGCTATCAGTGCCCACATCTGGATGATACTACGTGGGCTACAGTTCCTTTGTCTTCTTCCTAATGATGTGGAAATGCCCAGAAATGCAGACATTCCCGTTTCACAACTCATCTTGCTCCATGCTTTCCCAAGCTATTTTTCAGTGCAGATTAACTGTGTTCAGCTACAGCTATGTTGCCAAGTTGCTGACTGATAGTTGCAATTTCAAGATTTTGACAAAGGGGGAAAAAAAAAAAAATCAGGAGACTTGATAGGGCTATTTGACATTCTAAAACTATTCTTCATTAAGCCCTTTTTGAATTAGCATCTAAAAAGAGGAAAGGAAGATTTGCAAATTAGTGGTAATCAAAGGTCCCTGATGACCAAAACCTCTAAGAACTTATTATAGCCCCTCCTGAAGAAGATTAGCTTGAGACTGTCTAGAATTTTACACTGGAGACTATTAGACATGTTTCCATCTTATCGAGGACACCTTATACTTTCCAAACAGCAAGTAAAAAAAGCAATTCTTTCTCTTATCTCAAAAAAAAAAAAAAAGGAAATTATGTTTATAAAGCTACATTTCCAGGCTGCACAGGAGACTGGCTTTGAATCTCACCCCACTTTGGTAAGAGATCAACACATTAATAGAAACTCAGCTGCATCAAGATGTTCAGAGACAAAGAAAGATGTTGACACTTTCCCTTCCCAAATAAATAAATTATGATGAAATATGTATCCTGAGCCCAGATGTTCCGTACACCTAAATGAAAATAGCTAGATGTACCTAGTTAATATATCTGTAGAACAAATTTATACTTGCCCACACACAGAACTGTAAAAAAAGATTGAAAGTCACGTGCTAGAGTCATTTCTTGTCCAGCCTGTCTGAAGGGAGGCATTGGGGGTGTGTATAAAAATTAAGAAGTGTGGATGTCTTTAAGCACTCTTTTGACTGCAATTCTTAAGCATACTCAAATGAGAGGTCAGAAGACTGGTCTGCTCTCTTCACTTGAGATTAGAAACAGTAGTGTATTCATTGCTTTCATCTCTCCCTCTCCTAAGAGCAAAAAGGTAGTTTTCTATTTAAATACCTTTTTTCTTAGCTGAAAGTGTGCCAACTAGGAATACAGATTTTTTTTTTTTTAATACGAAATTTGACTACGAAGATGAGGTGAAAACTGTCAAAGGCAACTGATGGTAATAATTTTTGGCTCTGCCAGGCGAATTTTGAACATGGGGATTTAATGGCAGAAATGTAATGTTTACCTAGACCATTGATCAAAAACTGAACATAAATATTCTTTCTTTTCCCCATTCCATGTCTCCATTTAGCAAGGAGATTTCCTCAGACAATCCAGCTAAATATAAATTAAGAGGGACTTCAGATGTTACCCTGGAACCTACTGTTAACAGAGAGGCTTACATTTGAGAAAAGCAGAAAAGGCATTTGATTCTTTGAAAACTGCATTTTCCCCCTTCTCTATTCTCTTGGTATTTGTTCCCAATGTTGTCCATGACACACACCCACAGAAATATAAAGAAACATCTGAATATTTACTTACTCATTAGCATTCAAGCTAGCTGTGGCTTTGATGATCATGTAGCAGAGTGTAAGGGCACTGAGGAGGCCAAAACTGGCAATAATAAACCATTCTTCTGTTGACAAAGGAAAGGGAGGAAATCACTCGTGGGAGAAGGCTTATGTCAAAGCGATGCCAATATTTCCCTCAAACACCACTGGCGGAAGGCAAGAGGCTTCTAAGCCATGACTGGCACCAGGAGGTGAAGCAGAAGGAGGTTAGCCACAGAGTTACTGACTGGAGAAGGCTAGCAAAGAAGAAGTGGAAAGAGGTGTGGAAAAAAAGCATGGCACAACAATATTTCCTGGCTGAGCCCAAGGGTTAGTGATAAAGAAAGATTACTTAACAATGTAAAGTGAAATGCAGGAACAAGGGAAAATGTAATGAAAAGTCTGTCCGCCCCCACGTCAGAAAAGGTTGTCAGGGTTGGTTTAGATTTGCTGAGATGCAGCTCTTGACATAAGCACACCCAGTATACTTTCACGCTTAATTTGTGTTTTCACCCCCTCCCTCCTGAATAAATGCTATAGTGTTACTTTAAAAAAACAACAAAAAAATAGGATAGCTTATTCAACAGTAAAACATAACTGGAGTTTCCTATTCAATAGACAGGAATACAACATAGAAAAATAATTTCAACATTAGTGTATACATACAGAAACATTAAAAAAAATAAAAAGTAGTATAAAGAAGGCTATTAAAGAATGTTCACTATTCAAAAATTCTCCCTCTTCAAAATCAATTTGGCACATCATAATAGATCAGAATACAAACATTTTTGTTGAATATGGCTTTTGGTTTAACTCTCAAGCATCAAAGAATGCATGTGTCATCCATAAAATCCAAACATTTGAATAGCCTTTTCTAAAGCTTTATTTTATAAACATTGTCAGAATGAACTGTTGCTGATTATTTCTTGTTTTACCCTGCCATCCCATCTGTGCAAGAGCAGTACTACAGTTGGGAACAGACAGTAAAAATACTTTCTGTAAAACCAAGTAGTGGAAAGTTTCAGTTAAACTAGACTTTTCCCACCCATGACAAGAAAAGCAGCACACCAACAGATTGGCTCTCTGTTCAATAGAGCTGAATGCAAGATGAATCAGATGTCGAACACTGCATGACAAAGTGACTTACTGGCTTTGTAAAGAATCTAGATTTTGTATGTGGATTTTTCCTTCTCAGATCAGGACATTTCTGGATACAGACTACGTGTTTCATAAGAGGAGATTTTTTTAATGAGACATTTACTTTGCTACAGCATCTAACGAAACACTCTAATGGACTGTATCAGTTACAGATACATGTATCAGTGGCAAACTGTGCCCCTAAGTTCAAAATGTAGATCATAGATGCACATAAGGAAAATACAAGGAGAAAGCTAGACTGTTGTACTGCATGGATTCTATTTTTGCAATTCAGCCAGAAAAACAACCATTCATGCATCAAATTGAGACTATACAGCATATGGAAAAATGATGCAATTCCACACATATTATATTCATTATAGTGCTATTATACATTAAAAACCCTAGGTAAAATCCAGTGAGTGGAAATTTCCCATGCTGTTCTTATGGATAAGAGCTTGCAAGCAGTGCAGGAACAGTTTTCTGATGTCATAAAACACTTGGACAATACTCAAATGTTGGTACATTAAATACTGTTTTTAACTCACAAATTTTGTAAGAAGAACCATCTACTAAGAGACATCAGAATTCCAGTAGTAATGTTCTCGGGGGAAAAAATGTCTACAGAAATAGTGATCAGCTAAAATATTTATATTTGTATAAATTATTGCATGTAAAGTATTCTGAAAGGGTAAATAATGGTTTTGGCAATCCAGCTTCTCCTACTGGTTACCAAATTCAGGAGGGTTATTTTGTTGCCATTTTAGTTCATCCAGTGTTCTCTGCATGCAGATCGAAATGGATATACCATTAATAATGAAAGTGTTGGCACTGTTGCACGTAGAGTTGCCGGTTTCAATATAGAGCGTTATGCCTCTTACAGGGACACTGAGGTCACCTTTGTCCCTGCAGGTAAACCTTTCATCACGGCCCTGCAGCACAGAGCTACAGCAAACCAAGTGCCACATACCGAGAGAACCATAGAACAGTACTGGAAGCCAAAGAAAACTTACTTGTCACAGCAATGTTGATCTCTCCCGACCTTGGCGTTAGCTCTCCGTCCTGTGGAAGCTGTGACATCCCAGAGGTGCGCAGGGGCTCCAGGCTGAGAGAGCTGTCATTGGCAAAATCGCCAAGTGCTGATCGCCTGCTAGCTGGCTGGCCTCTGGTGAGCCTTTCCATGTCAAAGGCTACATTGTCTGTACACGGCACACTTGGCTGGAAAAACAAGCGACTCCACATTACAGTGGTGAATATTCGACATGTAGCAAACCTATAAACTGAGTAAAAACCACACATACACGCTATTCAGCCACTATGGCTGTCCTCACGGGAGAGAAACACACGAATTAGCAAGTTCTATCCAAAGTTGCTCCTTCAGTCCACTTTAAAGAGGTGGAGAAAGAAGCAGGAAATGGGATTAAGATTCAAGAAAGGGACTCAAATATGCTTGTATCATAGCATATGCCTGTATGATTTACTACCATGAGCAATGATGACATGCACTGAATTCCACAGTATCCTCCTCTAAAAATCCAGGTATATTATTAATTGCAAAAATAGGTCATCCACAGTATATCTGCAACTCTTTCTTAGAAAATGTGCAAATTTGCAACTGACACAGCTGAAAATGGAGGCCTGATTATTCTCACTGGCTTGATTCAAAAGCTGCTTTGGACATTATCTTCATATGCTCTTCTCTTTCTTTATGTCTTTCTTCTGAAAAGAGCATCGCTCCCACCTTATGATTTTTTCCCCATATGGGAAAGATGGAAAAATCCTCTTTGAGGTTCTTCACTTCTATCCCTTTGTAAACTGGTCAACAAAAGCAGTCCTCAGGGATCCCATAAGCCATGAGCTGCTTGAGGAAAGCTCGCTGGCCTCGGCTAGGGCATGGCTTTTAATGTGTAAACAAATTTAAGAGTGTCTACAGGAGACCACAACAAGAACAAGAGATTTACAGAGTAAATTTAACAAAGAAGGGTTGAAAGAAGTTGAGAAAAGGGAAGATTATAGAGAACCTAGTAGACTTCCAGTAGATAAGAAATTGTTACAAATGGAAATATAACAATATATTCCCAATGACCAACTCAGCTGCAAAGAAACTGGTAAAACACACCCAAACACTTTCTGACTAAGGGTATTGGAACACCCTTCTCCCTTTCTCCCCTACAATTATTCCTCCTGTTCTGGGTCTCAGACATGGGAGGAAGATGAGCTCACAACAGTGCAACTTACCACGATTCCCAGTGCCTTCAAAATGTTCAGTTTACACATTGGACACGTACAGTGCTCACTAAGCCATGGATCCACACAGGCTTTGTGGAAAACATGCCTAGAAGAACAGACAAGACATATATAATTTGCAAACAATTCTATTTTATACAGTGAGAACGACTTTAACAAGCTTTTAGATAGTTTCTTCAATTAAGCCAGCAGAACAAATTCTAGAATCACCAGTATTCTGCGCTGATTGCAATAAGAAAAAAAAAATATCAAAACCTCTTGCTTGTTGTTGCCACCCTTTACTAATAGTTCAACTAGGAAGAAACACTTAAAAGGAAGATTCCTCCCCCCCCCCTTTATTGTGGATATGAGTACACACATGGGCAGAAGAACGCAGGTAACAAAGTCCCCACCACAACCTTGTGTAAAAGCCTTGTCTCAATTTCTATGTAGAACCTGGCCATAAATTGGGTAGGAAGAGCACAGATCCACCAGCAGTCAGTTTTATTCAAAAGTCAGTGCAACCGACCCAAACACGCTTATGTTTGATTTTGAAAGGGCTTTTATAGTTATCACATCTAAGTAAAAAGAAGGCTTTTCCTACAATCCTTTAAGTATTTCTTGATATCAGGAAGGAAAACATGTCCATCATTATATGGTCATAAAAAAAAAAAGAAGAATCTTTCAAAGATGAAAAGGCAAACTGGGCTTCTACTTGCACAGCAGGGAACTCTGCAATAGAGAACAGTCTGAATTGCCACCTACATTGCATACAAAATCTTAGTCACATACATGAATATAGATGTAGCAGTGTTAGGATTGATATAAACCAATATAACAAGGAAGGGCTACGCAGAGACCAAAACAACGTATCTAAATTGAAGGAATTAAAGGAAAAGTCCTCTTGGCTTTTCAAAAGGCAAAGAACTTTTCAGACCATACTCATGGCAGAAATGGATATCACTAGACTTTCTACACAATACACCTTTAGCAAATACTCATAATAACCTAGTCTGAATAACTGCCTATGATAAGAACCCAGATCTTTCACTTCCAGTGGTAGTGCCTGCAGAGCGAAAAGTCAGTAAAAGCAGGCACACCCAAACACAACAGACTGATGATTACAACAAAGATTAGCAATTACAAGGGCTGCTTAGCCAGTGAAGAGCTGTGATCTGAAACCAGCAGGCGAAGGAGCAGTGGCAGAACAAGGAGTTCTTGCCATCTATTTGAGGCATCAGCACGGTCTGTAAGAGGTCATGCATGCCCCCAATGCAGCATAAAGTTGTGATACTCTCTATCCTCTCCTTTCTCAGGTTATACTTGCTGCTCTGTGCCTCATTAAGCTCATCACAGGGTTTGGGACTTCTTTGCTCTCTATCCCTTGGGATTTTAAAACCAGAGATCAAATGAGGCATGTTACCAGATAATTCTCTTTTAAATGTCTGGAAAATGACCGGAGAAAAAGGCCTCATGAATTTGTTAACAAACATGGAAAAAGACAGTATATAATTGTTTTGTCTATGGCTACTAAGACTGATGGAGGGACTAAAGTACACCAACATAATTAGGTTCCAGTCAGCTACAACTATGTATGCTACCTGTACTAAATAAAGATGCATAGATTTACAGAGTATAACATAGTCAACAGAAGATGGACAGGGAGCAAAAAAACCTTTGCTTATCTGTATCCCATATATTGCAGGAATAGAAACTTACAGAATCTCAGCTAGTCACTTTGCTGGACTGAGTCTTTTAGCAACACAGCAATCATGAAAAACAGGATATATACATTGCTTACTGTTCAAATAATTGCACAAAATATAAACGGACTTCTATCGTTATTAGATCTTAACGCATTCCCTTTATTACTCACAAAACTACAGGAATCCATGTTTAGAAATCCTGGGTGACAGAAAATGGTTTGAAATCTTCTGAAACATACAGAGATGCTATTTTTCTATGTTAGGCAAATTATGGCTTTTAGGTGCTTATGTTTCCTTTTAAGATTCTAAAGTCTGGTTTTTAAAGTAGGACAAACCTGAAAATCTAATATTTTGGGAAACAGCAGACATCAAGACTCCACAGAAGTATGCAAACAGCTTTAATATATCGTTATCGGCTAATCAGTGCTGTAGAAGCACTCAGATCAAGTGAAGCAGGCAACTGATATGGATGCCAACATGCATCCGCTAAATATTATGAGTTATTTTAAAGAGTCATTAGCAGTTTGATATAGTTCAAATACACCAAAACAGCTCAACTATTTTTGTGACCTCTTAATTCTTTGCTTTTAGTTCCTAAGCCTTCAAGGATGTTTATTAATGTGTTTCAAAAAAGCGCAGTTCCCCAAAGGTTATTTATTGATTTAGATCAGCATGGCTCTGCCTACTACTTATGCAGTTTATCTACTCCTTAAAAAGCTTGCTGATACCATCATCGTGGCTCAGGTTCTGTCTGGATTTCTCTGCTTGCAAGAGTTAAAAAGCAGTTACACAGCAATTAAAATAGTAAACACATGAATTATTTTAAAAACTCAGTCTGACAAAGTAAGCCCTTGCATTTCTGCTATCATAAACCTTCTCCATCTTCATATTTCTGTCACTTGTTTTCCAAGACGACAAATCTGAAGAGTTTCTAGCGAGTTGCTCTAGGTTATAGCAGCTGACGACATTCCCCCAGGAGCCCCACACCAGGGAGTCAACTGTGACACAGCTTTTGCTGCTTCTCCAGCCTTGGGGCTGGAGGAACTATGGCTGGCAGCCATGGCCAGCAGCCAGGCTGGTAGCACTGAAGGAGTCTCCCATGCAGGCGTAACTCCAAACAGGTGACCTGCAGGTATTTTTCCACTCTGTCAGCATACCCAAACCAGTTGCCCTCCAGCTTGCAATAAACACTGTAACACCGACTCTGTTGTACAACACAGCTTCTTTGCAGCATTTCACAGAGAAAAAGTGAGTTAGAAATCCCTTTCAGTGGTGTAATGCCTCTGAATTCGCATGTCACACAAGAAGAAGGGTTTGAATGAGTTTACAAGTGCTATTTCCCAAGAGCTTACCACACTTCCCTGCTCTCAGTGCAGCATCCCACCAAAGGGACCCGATCAACATGCTGCCTGCAAAGTAGCATCTTTGGGTACTGCTGGAGGCAGCTGCTCTCCTTGCCCTGGGGTACAAACCTCCCAGCCGGGCTGGCAAGCAGCACCCAGGTCATTCCTGCCCTGCTGCAGGCAGCCCCTTACAGCTAGCACAGCTGAAGAGAGATGTCTGGCCTGCCGTGGCGGGGAAGAAGGTGCCACGTCTCCACCCCCAGCAGGCAATGCCAGGGGAGAACAGCCTCAGTGCCTTCCACAAATATGTAGTATTGCTGGGGGAAGAGAGAGACTGCCCTCACAAGCAGGTAGAGAAAATGGGGGTGGTGCAGAGGCATTGCAGTAAGCAGAAAGGATGGCATTGAGATATTATGTTAACTTGCTCTTAACAAAACAAACAAACAAAGCTATTTGCAGCAGTACAGAATCAAACTGATGGACACCTGGCTTAGTTGCTTTTATCACTTCCCCCTTCTCGCCCAGTACAGGAAATATCAAGAATTTGACTCAAAAAGACTCCGATTTTAACATATTCACTACTTAAATTCTCTTTCTACCTTGTAAATTCCTTCCTTCCCAGGCTGTCTTTCTGCCCTTTCCAATGTCACTCTGTGCTTTTCTCTAACCTGTCACTTTGCTCTCCCCTTCCCTTATCTCTCACTAGTCCTTCACACTACCCCCTCCTGATCACTTTTCACCCAGCACCCCTTCATCTCCTAGATGCAGCAGTGTGATGGTAAAGTAAAACTATCTGAATAAAGAAAACCGTCCATGAGGTTTGTCTTTTGCTAGAATCCTTCTGACATTTGCTTACACTACTTATTTTTAACTTACATAATGATATTCACAAAAGAGACATTCCTCAGGCTAAGTCTGAGGCAGATGGCTGCCTTATCCCTCTGTGCGCTAAAAGCTATAGGTATGTCCATAGGCTGCTGGTACTGAACATATTTCTCTCTGAAGCACAAAATGAATGATAGAAATTCAACTGCATTGTTTGCAATCGTTTTCATTTTAGTTTATTCTTAAGTTGGCCAAATTTCCCCCCCTGCCACAAAACTTTACATCACAAATATGGTGTTTCACTACAGAATTTGAGGTGCTGCGTGTCTGCCCAAACCAGACTCTTCTCTGCTGAGGCACAGAGTGACAGACTATAATTAACTGCAGAGAACAATTGTGGTACCAAAGGGAAATGCTACTTTTAAATTGATGAAAGCAGCAAGGATGTCATATGTCAGTGATTCCTACTGTCTAATGATTATAGCTTCCTCAACAGGCACAGTAAGAAAAACTTCTAGCCTTTCATTTGCTTCCTCTTGGTGGAGCCATTTTCTCCATGGTTTTCTTGCAATTTATTTCCTTATCCAGCTTAGAGACTACTGTCGGGGGGTTTTTTGTGTTGTGGTTTGGTTTTTTTTGTTTGTTTGTTTTTTTAAACTAACTTTGCATGTTGCACTAAAATGAGAGGTTGAAGTATCAGGAAGTAGAAAGGGATTAAACCTCCAAAACAAGATTTAGGGAGAAGCATCTCAGATGCTGAAGACTGAAAAGTCTCACATGCAGTCTGAAATTTATTGGGCTCATATCTGCACATACTGGTTGGCCCTTCATCTACAAATATAAAAGTGTCTTGTGGAAAGCATTTATCTCAATGTTTCCGTCTAGCCAAGATGGTTTTGCACTCAACTCAAAGCTGAACTGCAGCAGATGAAAAGTGAGATTTAAAAAAGAGAAGTGGAAAGTGAACATAAAAGTTGTCATACAGCCTTCGGCAGGAATGTAAACTGAGACTACACTGACCTCATATTCTTGTGAAAAACAGAACAGAAAAGTATCTACACAAGAGTGTTGCTACCTCCTTTACATGGGAGATTGCATGGGGTAGGTTGTGCTGAGATGGCAGCCAGGTGCACCTTCATCCAACTCCCTGAAGCAGCTGTGAGAGCAGGGAGCTTCCTGTCTGCAGGACTGTGGCTTGAAGGTGTCTGAAGGAATGGACTTTAATTTTTTTTTTTTTTTTAATTAAAAAAAATCAATTATCATCTTGGTTAAATTGTCTGATCACATCTGTTGATACATATCCATTGCTTGGACAGTGGCAGTTGTTTAACTAAGGAAGTTGACTTTTAGTCCCAATTTTACTTTGTCCGTAGTGGGAGAAGATGCTTTCCTACCAGATGAAGACTCATTCTCTCGCCGTTGGCAAGGACCTCCCTCTGACCTCTGTTCAGTATCAAAGAGAAAGGCACAGAGGAGTGGGACTGTGAACCTCCATTCCACATCATTGAGCCTCACAGTACTACCCTGAACTACACAAGTGAAGCTTTCTTAAGAGGCAATTTAAAAAAAAAAAAATCAGCTTAGTGGTCCAAAACTGGCGTGCAGTTTCCAGGAGTTCCTCCTCTAATTTCCAAATAATCTTCTACATAACAAATTAAAGACTAGGGCTTAATTCACATATGCAAGCTATACTTGAGATAACAATATAGGACATAAATCTCTGGAATCTTTACTTAATGCTCGGGAGTACATTTTTATGGGCAAGAGGACATCATCCTTCAGTAAAAATGACCGAATTCTAGAAAAGAAATTCACACACATCTATATGACGAAAAGCTCCCAAATCTTTACAGATCTGAGACCAAGCTCTTCTATTCCCAAATATTTTAATGGGCGTTTCTAAACAAATATTTGTAGGGTATATTAACTAAACAACAACACTGAGAATCTCAGAGTTCATTGTTTCCCACAGTCCAAGAGGTAAAGAACAGAGAAAAGTAAACCGAATTAAACTGCTGGCCTCAGAAGTAGAATTCACACACATTTTGATCAATAAGATATAAAATAATATTGTTTTCCTTTTATGACGATAGAAATTCATTATGCATTAGAAGAAATATATTCCAGCTATTCAGAGCAGCCTGCAGGAGGATTCAGAAGACCAATAATGAGCTCTTATGTGCTGCTGTGTGACTGAAGCTCGACTCCAACACCGTGACTTTGTTGCTTCTAGAGCATCATGCAGAACACTATTTACATACCAAGCACAGGCCAAATTACTGGATCTTAGCTGCATATATACAACATAAAACTTACATGTATTTTTTGTCTGGAGATAACGAGAAAGCTTTGCATCTCAGAATACAAGGGAAAGATGTCCTTGGTAATGCTCAAGGCTACCAAAAATGTACCTATTCATCAAAACCAATCACCAGGTAGAAAAGCACTTAAAAGCATCTCTTAAAGAGCAAATATCCCATAACAACTCAAGAATGAAAGTGGAATGGAAAGAAACTCAAAACCTCTAAGTGTCAAGAGAACGGCATACGAGGAGGAAGTTGTTACGTTTTAAGCACCAATGCAGAATACCCAGCAAGTATGAATCTTCAGGCACAAGCCAAGAACATGCTGCACTGGAGAGACCAAAGATAGATGATAGCACAGTGGCTGACTGATGTCAGAGGAGGCATGAAGGTTGGAAAGACTGCATTTCTGTTTCCTACACTGTTTCAGAAACCAGCAGCCAATGTTGCACGTCTGTTGTGCAGAATGCTGCAGCTGTACCTGGTTCATTATACTTAAGTTTTTTGTGTCTACCCACCGCTCGGTCCTTAAATCTGCACACCCCCCCTTACAATCTTAATAGCTCGACTGCTGATATGCCCAAACTGCCCATCTTCAAGATCATAACCTTTCGTTTAATCTCCACTGTCATAACAGTGTCAGCACCCACCTTCACGCCTTCTGGTATCATAGTCTAAAATAAAGTGGCTGTTATTAGGACTGAAAACATCTAACAAATGTGTCTGTAAATTACAATGCACATATTACATGAAATGAAGCAAAGGAGCACAAAGAAAGAATAGTTTCCAAACAAAGCAACTTTACTAGCTTACTTGCATGGTAAAATGCGAACAACATCATTCTGCTTGTAACTCTCAATGCAGACGGCACAATGATCAAAGTCTGGGTCTGTTTCCTAAAATGAACAGAATGAAAATTCAAGTCAAGAGTTGAGACTATGACAAATGTAAAAGTAGTTGTGACTAGTACATGAACTGCATTGTGCCAAGTGGCTGTTACTAAGAAGATACAAAACCAATGACCGGGTTGTTATGTTCCAACACGACTTGAGAAAGAAAAGTATCTCATATATACAAAACTCTCCCCTCATTTGGAGCTGGTAAATGATCATTTGAAACATAGGCTAAGGCCTGAGATGATTCTAATATTCAGTTGAATCACTATAAAATATAGTGCTGATTTTCCTAGAGGCTTTACTTCAGATTGGAGCTAAAACTCCTATTTTATTCAGGGTCTTTTTTGGCAGGATAAGAATCCTAGAATTACCTTTTATAACCAGACCTAGCAATTTTTACTTATTTCAGAGTAGTCCCATATTTTTGTCTGCTGCTTACTTGCAGCATTATCATCATTCTTATCCAGATGTGAAGACGAGGATCACTGACCGACTCTTCTCTTATTCTCTGCTTTCCTGAAGTTAGTTTTATTTATTTTTTTTAAAAATGAGAATTTAAAATTTCTAATGAAAAAGGGCTGACTTCATTTGGATGTAGATATGGCATCAGCAGTATGTAGTTAAAATGCTTGGGCCTGTAACACAAAATAGACTGTGCCTTCTCTTAGTTCAAGTTCATTATTCTTTTCAATGCCAGCAAGCTACTAGCAAGACACCAAGACAGGAACCACAGCAAGACAATAGCCGCTCCCTGGTCAGCACCAGTCAGTGCAGCATCCCGATGGGCTGCTCTGATGAAGGACAGGTTTTCTTCTACCCTCTTCACCTGCGTGTGCATCTCATGCTGTCTGTACTGCAACCTACACGTCACTTGCCAGTTTTGAATTTATGATGTCAAGATGACAGCATCTTTTCTTTTAATATGGAAAAGTTCCCGTTATCCATATGTACTCCCATACCCACAGAAAAGATTCAGTGTAGTAGGCTGTCTTGAAATAAAACTACACAGGGAGGGAGAAGAAGCAGAAAGACATTTTTTCTGCCTTCTCTCTGGAAGCAAATTTTTCCATTACTTCCCAATCTTCCATTGCTGATAGTGTTGATAAGAAAGATAAAAAGAATCACACTAAAAAGGCCCAAGGAAATAATCTTCTCTTAAAAAAAAAATCAAATCATAGCCAGAATTCCCTCGCCTTTTGCAAATTAAAGAGCAAAAATTAAGCAAGATTAAGTGACTATTTTTTCCTTTCAGAATCAAAGACAAAGCAGTACTGCTCATAAAAGTGGAAAAGGTTTAGGACTTAACACACCATATATTTTAGTTTGTATACTGGCAAGAAATATTCTTGGCGTAACATTTACTATCTTTAATGAAATACCTGTTTATACTCCCCCTCAGATTACTGGATATTCATATTTGACATAAGAGATTGTCCTTTATTTCCTGTCTTTTAAATTTATTTTTACTTTACACAACTTACATGTGGAATGATTCTAAGCTTACAGAATTCCACGTAAACAATGCCAGCCCTATGTACTCCTACCAGCAAAACCCCCCCACAGCGAGCTAGCGCACAAAACCACTCTCAGTCACAGTTGCCAGATGGAGCGCGAGTAGTATTTAAGCAAGAAAAACTTCTTTGAAATGTACAGACTTACACCATACATTGATACTAAAAGTTACACAAAATACTGTGCCACAGGACAAAGTAAGCCTCCAACAAGGAAAACAAGGTCATAAATCAGAAGCAGAAAGGAAAAACAGATTGTTTCCCCTGGCAAAAATTAAACATGATGCTCAAGTTTACCATGTTGAAATCTTATTATACCTTATCACCCTTCTTTACTGTCCTGGTTGTCAATTTACCGATGGCTTTCTTAGCAGCATCTCCAAGACGACGCTAATAAAGTGACAAAGAAAACACAAATTAACCCTAATAATCAAGCTTCATTACTGTCCTTTATAATGACTTATTTGGGCTCAATACATTGCAATACACACTATGGCAGTAGGCCAACACATAAGACACAAAGCATACACAGCAAAGCACACAGAGATTTGTCAGGAAGAAAAAAAAACCCAACAGTTGAGCCCACAAATGCACTCGATAAGCATGGGCATAAACCTCATGGACTGTATAAAAGTCCACAAAAGTGATCCAACATTTGTGTGACAAAACTAATCAAACCCAGCCCACAGGATAAAAGCTGAAGCAACATGCCCTCCCGATGATTTCCGTTACATTCTGTTCATATTGCTTTTTATTCATTGTGCTGTAATATACCCCTTGTTCTCTTCTTAAGCTTGATTATTTTTTTTTTCCTCGCCTGAGCAGGCTGATCTTATTCTGAGACATAAGAGATCCTCTCATTGTAACCTAGTTTCTCTCTTGCTATTACCTCAAACTGCCAGGACCTCACAAAGAAAAAAATTATGGGTCACAAAATCTAAATAAGCCAGTACAGACTTAAATAAAGCTGAAATGAATACTGGTTTGAACCTCAATCTGAATGCAGAGACTAAGCTTTTTTTTGTTGTTTATGCTGTTTTTATGACCATCACTGTTGGACAGAAGGAGCCATTTCTGCAATTCGAGTGCTGATTCCTACTGCAATGCCCAGTTCCCAGCCAACAAAGAACGGCTGTTTGCCAGCTGGTCCATGGGATCCCAGAGACAGGGCACCGAGTGGAACAAAGCTCATGTCTTCTTGTTTCAGGAACCTGAGACATCAGATTTGGTTTACATTGACTGGAAAAAGGGAAGTTCATGTATTTCATCCTTCACCTCCAGCTTGTACTAAGTACTCTGCCTTTGAAAGAGATGGGCTGTTTCTGAGAATGTAAACTGCACCTATCAAAACCTCCCATATAGCTTGAAACAACTGTGCTTTTTTTGTGCTCACCTTCTATTCAGTTGAAAATCAAATCCTTCATAAGGTGTACCCTCCTGTATCATACATTTTCTCTGCATACAAACTGAAACTAAGAAGGCTGCTTTTATTTGAGAAACACAAAGACCTCAGAAGTCCACCACAACCAACTGTATCACTGTTATTCTAGAACTACATAAGAACATATTTTTTTGTGGTTTCCACAGAAGAACAGCTCTTATATTTTTTTAGTGTGGATTTGAAAAAAAAATAAATCACATACTCAGTCCCAGCTACTGAAGTATACCCACACTGGAAATGCAGCATGAGAAACAGAGCTGGGATGGAGAAATTATATGCTTCCTGAAGCCAGAATCTCACCCTAACTTCAACATGTGAGAAATCGGTCAATTTAAGCAGATCTAAATTACATGTCCTGGAACAAGCATATTGGCCTGAGTATTAATGACACAGAACACACTGGCACACTGCTGGAGCAGATAATCATTGCATAACCAGAAGTGTGAATACTAAGAGAGGAACAAGGCTGAAAAGGCATTTAACTTAAATGCTCAACGCTACCAAGTAAGTAATTGTGGGTAGTATTTATATATAGTTGTACTGCATATGATTGTATTTGCACTACAAGAAATCTTAAAGAAAGATTATATTCCTATTGGAAGCATAATATTTCAGCAAAACTCTTCCAAAATGTATACATGTTCTCTTATGTAAATAAATTTGCTAAACAATAACTTTCACCTCTTCCATTTAAGAGATCCATCTCTTCATTTTCTAATTTTAATAAATACTTTTTTATGTTAACATTGGAAGCGCTCAGGATTTGCTATTTTGATAAGTTAGGGCATAGGCATACAGCATATGCTTGCTTTTAAAACCCAGAACTGTCTTGATGGAAAAGGCCACCACCACATGCAACAGTTTCATACCTCTGGCGGAAGCGTGCAAGAGTAATGATGTGAAATACCAGTATCTATTTGCACTATCTACAAAACATAGCATGTTTTTGATGATTTTTTTTAAGTGTGCCTTGACATAACTTAAAAACAAAGTCATAGGCTAAAACAAGTTATTTCATCACTAACAGTACAGCCTTCTCTCAGTGAAAGCTCTCAAAGCTCTTTAAAAATAACCTGTAGCTGTCGCCACCTTCTTATTAAAGTTTAATAACCTCAGCTTTTTAAATCACATAAAATTTTCATCAAGTTTCTCCTGACCTTCGTAAAAATCTAAAGAAAGAAAAAAGGTCAAAAGAGCCCTTTCCCCATGGAGCAACTGTTTTGAAACATGGACATTTGGAAGAAGACTAGAACCATGTAGGGGATGCAGAAGGCACAATTTAGTATTCCACAGACATTCATTGAGTAACAGTTATATTTAAACTTTCACCATCCCAAGGGACCACACTAAGTACCAGTTACAGTGTGGTCATTTAAGAATGACATCCTTAGGAAAATCTACAGGATGCCCATGGGACCTGCAGCATCAGGCACTATTTACAGAAACTAAAAAGGAAATCCTTTGTCACAACTGAGGCTTTATAAGTTTGCATTTGTTTGGGGTTTGACAAAACACCAAAGCACTGCCTCACAGTGAGCTCCTGTGTATTAGCTGTAATTCAGGGGGGAAGGGGGGGCAGTGACTAGAGGTCAGCAGCACCGTAAGTTAGCCTTGACAGAGAGATACAAAGGCAAAGAGAGCACAGCGGATTTCCTGAGGTTTACTGACCCTTCTCAGTAAAAGCCAAGGCACACTATGGAGGCAGTGGGTCATTAAGTCCACGCTAGTAAAACATTTACTTCTAAAGTTTAATCCGTATTTGAGTTGATGACTTGATTTAGTCAAGATCTCCAAGTATGGTGATAACTTAATTCAGTTCTTAAACAAATTAAGAGTTGAAAAAGAAGGTAAGAAAGGCATATTGGACAAAATTCTACTTAAAATATATGACCAGGAGAATCAGACAGTCCTACCAGGCGTAATCTTGAATAAAGTTGAAAGTTCGTGCAGATCACTAAGCACCTCTGTACCTTAGTTTTCTTACTCTAACATTCATGTGAGATTATAGTTTGGAAATACCTTTATACAACTTCTGAATTACCTTAACTACTACTAAAGCTATCTTTAATAACATGGATAGAATTCATAACATCAGCTCAGTGTTG